GTAGTGTATCACAAAACCAAGAACCCATTCGAAGCGAAAATTTGTATGAATATTAGTTTTCAGCTGCTCTTATACATCATTAAAGTAAAATCTTAGGAAGATCAATAGTTTTGTGGTTCGAATTTTAGTGGCGTCATGTGAAAACCAGCTATAGAAGTTTCATTTACCTCGAAGTTGACCATGGTCAGATTTGCGCTCAACAAAAACGGGAAATGAGGCGAAACAAGAATAAAGTAAAGCTATAAAAGCAAATGCCGCTCTCAACGAATCAGAGTGGTCTATCTTAAGAAAGAAGAAATCAACCATGGCTCTATGCGCGGAAGTGTCAAGTAAGGTCTGTGATTGGAAGACTACATGGAAAATATAATGATTTTTATGATTTCTATGAATATTATTATAATTTTTTTTAATTTTATCATCATCACCATCATCATCATCATCATCATCATTATTATTATTATTATTATTATTATTATTTTTTCATTATTCGCATGGGTCTGAGTGTCCCGTGCGCGCCCTCTCCTTTTAAGCTTTATTTATTTATTTATTTACTTACTTATTTATTTATTTATTTATTTATTTATTTATTTATTTATTTATTTATTTATGTTCTTATTTAGTCTGTATATCTGACCGAATTCGCAAAAACATGCCCGCATTTACTCAAAGACAGTCCCAGCGGCCGGAAGTCCTCTGACCACCCCCCTGGCTAGGAGATTGGCCCCTCATGCATGCACGTGGCATGGACAACTCCACCAGGGTGTAATGTCAACACAGAAGGCTCGAACAACGTTAAAAAAAAAAAACTGATTAAAATACCCAGAAACACAGTCAATATCAAGATCATTTAGAACTGAAAACTCAAAGTCTAGCTAGCTGGTGGTGCCATTATAAGACACCCTCCCCTCAGCAGATAGGCCAGTGCCAGTGCCTGGGCCATGTGCCCGGCCTGGCCTTGACGTAGCTCCCCGCCCCCCCGGGTTTAAGGTCGCTGGCTTAACCAGGCGAAAACCTAGCGGGCATGTTTTTGCGAATTCGCTCAGATATATATTTATAGTCTTCGCCCAATAAAAGTAAAATTTAAAATATCATACCGTGTGTCGAAAAGAGCTATCCGACAAAAAGGTTTAACCTGTGTTCGAATCTTTAATTCGTGTTACTGCTTCCAGAAGATCAACAGAGACAGGGTTTCGCATTGCTGTGATTTATCCTTGTTTAGAACACAACCTGATAATCAACCCGGTGTCGTGTGAGAGATCCTGAATTGTAATATTGCTCCCTCTGCCACTCTGCTTTGCATTAAGTTATATCAAAGATCAAAAGCTTCAATTGGATTTGCGTCACTCAATGATGGAATTCGTAAATTCGCCCAAAATAGCACGAGCCTTAAGGCGAACGCAATTTGAACTAATTTTCACCATCAGGAGGGCTGTAAAGTCCTTATTGCTCGAGCATTTCAAACGATTACTCGTTTATATGAATGAGAAAAACAACGAACGCGCAAGCGTTAACTTGCACTGCAAAATTGGCATACTTTCAGCCAATCACATTGAAGTAATTAGAGGCAGGACTGACAGCAAGAACACATGTCATGCCATGACTCGTTGTTTGACAAAAGTGCTTCACATAGATTTTTATGATCGTCGCCTAATTTAGGAATATCATCGCCATTTAATAAATCTTGAAAGCGTCAGTTGCAGTCCCTTGATTCGCAGTTTTTGTAGAGTGGTGTATAGAAATCGTCGAGTTCATTCGTTATCGATTTTGAGTTTAGGATGAGTTTTTCATCTGCATTAATAAGGCGGCGAACTGATGTTCTCTTGGTTTTACTGGTTTCTGGATTTAAAAAATATTTCGAATTTTTCTCTCCTTGTTCATACCAGTTCGCCCTCGATCTTATTATTTTACCCTGGATAATGTAATCATATAATGCTTCATACTCACTCCTGGCTTCGTCCAGCTTTGTAATGTTTTCTTCAGATGGATTGTTGTTAAAGTTTTCCTCGCGTAGTTTTAAGATTTCTTCCGATCGCAGGAGCTGCGCTTTTCGATTCTTAGCGATCACTTTGCTGTATTCAATAGTAGTTTGCATACTGTTCTATTTTTAATTTGGTCCTACAATACTCTTTTATCATTAACTTTGGAAAATTCGGTGATCCATTTTGGATACTCTGAATGAATTAGCTGTATGTAATTGTCGTCAACCAGAAGGCTGGAATTAAACTTCTAATAAGATGGTCCAAATGGTTGATCTTTAAGGCTAATAACAGACAAACTGATTGCCGAGTGATCAGTGTTAATAGCTGGAGTATTTTCTACTTTTTTGGCGTCGTCTGGTAGATCGTCGGTTATAAGCCAGAAGTCGATACGAAGTATAATTGGATTTCTTTTTCTCCAGGTAAACTGCATTTTGTCAGGATTTCGTAGTCTCCAAATATCGATAAGGTTATATTCGAGCATGATATCTTGAATATTCGTTTTTACGGTCGATTTTGTTGCAATTTGGCCTCCGGAATGATCAAGGTCAGCGTCAAAATAAACATTGAAATCTCCGCCAGTGATGACCCTACATTCTGTATCAAAATTAGCTCTTTGAACAGCAGATAAAGTTTCTTGAAAAAAGGCTATTTGTTCGTTTAGTTTGGTAGAAGCGTATAAATTAAGCGGCAGCAGGAATGGCGATTCTTGGATGGTCATTTCCAATAATATGTATCGGTCTTCATCGTCTATTACGGTATTCTTTATTTCGTACTGTAGCTGCTCATTAATAAGGACAAGCACTCCTCTGATATGATTTGAACCATGACTAAGGCCCAGTTCAGACGCCGAACTTTTCATGAGCCGAACCTAATACGTTGAATTAAGTACATGAAAAGTTCGGCTTCTGAATCAGTTAAGAATGCCTATATGAAACTGGAACGGCTCAGCCGTTCTTCCGCCTCGCTCAGCCGGGAATTTCGGCTTTGGAACGGCTTTGATTCAGACGTCGAACTTTTCATGTGCCGAACCTAATGCATACACCTTGCCTAAAAACCGCTGACCTTTCGATGTGTTTTGGTTCAAACTAAATTAAGTTCGGTGAACTAAGTTCGACGTCGAATCACAGGCGTACTTTTGATAATTTGGGCCGGTCCAAATTAGAATTAAGTTCGGCTCATGAAAAGTTGGGCGTCTGAACTGGGCCTAAGAACCATTTCTCCACGTTATTGAAATTTCCAATCGTTTATGATCTCAGGTGTGCTATATGTCTCTTGAAGAAACGTTATATCCGATTTTTCTGTTTTTCAATGCATGTGAATATGGATTTAAGTTTGTGGAGGTAACGATTGCCTCGAGCATTAAGTGACATGGTCTTCAAATTAAGCTCTCCTATGTTTTTGTTGTTGGTTGTTGGAGAATTCTCCACAGCGTTAAGGGAATCTCTGCGTTCCGCTGGTTCAGCAATCAATCGGACTGTATCGTTCTGTTTTCTTTAAGTTTATTTGCGCTCCACACGTTCTACATTCAATCGATCTCTATTCATTCTGTCAGTTACAAGATAGCGATTCTATTTATTGGTTATTACAACGGAAATACACACCTAAACTACATAAAGCCATTATATTCTTAATACTTATTTGTGGTTTTCTAAGATCCTATTGTATTCTCTACTGCATGACTTGGCTTGAGTTTTCACTCGGGCTAATCCGATTAACGACTCTGTAAATTACACCCAAGTGTCACACATTCCTCTACGTCACAGGATGTTCGAAACCAAATTTGCACCCACAATTTCCCTAGATAATTTGTTATTACATTGTCGGTAACATAAGCTAACATTCTTGTAGTTGTTTCAAATTATACGCAAGCACGTTTCAAGACATTGGTATTCTTTAAACTGAAGTTGCTTAGAAATGCCGAAGACGTTTCAGTGTTTGTTAAAGCTTTAAAACGTACCCCGTAAAGGGTGCTTGGTTCGCTGTCCACGTTTCCTCAGGTACTTGCATACTTTTAGCCCCGTAAGAAGCTCTCCCGCTAACCTCGCAGCCCTAGTTTGTTTTATGAAGTTTTTCTAAATTAGTTCCATCGCTTTCGGCTTTAATCTGATGGTCCCATTGCAATTCCATGACAAGCAAAACAACCTTTTAAACTCGGACCTAAACGTTGGATTATTCCCTGCATATATAAATGGATTAATGGCGCTACTGAGGAATGGAAGGAATACTGGAACAAGTTTCCAACTTCGGTGTAGTTTTAGTGTTGGTTGAAGACGTTTGGCCAACGCAATAACCCATGTCGGTATCCAGCAAACCACAAAGACTGCGGTGACAAAAACCAGCGCCCTACTTATTCTGATCTCTTGAATTGCTAATCTTGTTTGGTTTGTTCTGTTGTGAAAACTAGGAGATATGTCGCGATTGTGCTGTCTAATTGCATTGTACACGTGTAGGTAGGAAAATATAATGATGAAAGAAGGAATCACAAAACACACGGGGATAGTAATACAATAGTAAACCAAAGCACTTCTCTTGGTCGAAAATATTGTTGCACAGAGGGCGTAGTCAGGCAAGAACTCAAATCTTTGCCAGGTCGCGCTTTTTACTATAATAATGTACATCGCCAGAAGCAGCCAAAAAACTGTAAGGAACATCCTTGACTTCTTCAAAGAGAAGACCTTGTGACAATGTTTAGACTTGACTAATCTCATGTATCTGTTAAAAGCGGCCAGTCCCATCGTTACAGGTGAGCTGTAAAGCACAGAATAATCGCCAGACGCTTGAAATTCACAAACAGTTTCGCTAAAATTCCATTTTCCAGTTAACAACGCGATGGTCGTCATTGGCATAACACAGGTTGACCACATAAGGTCTAGGACTGACAGAGCAAATATGTAAATATCCGACGTTGTTCGTAGCCTTGGGCTCTTGTACATAGTCAGAGCCACTAAAACATTTCCTATCGAACTAGTAAGGTTAATTAATATCAAGGTTGTAGCTTCGGCGACGATGATTTCCATGCTTCTGTTTTGAAGTCGCGAGGACTTACTCGCAGAATACGATTTTGCAACAAGATATTTCTTGTGTGAAACAATATCCTAAAAATCTGAAAAATCTGACAGCAACTTAACTACAGAAAAGATACGTAACAACTAAATGAATAGTAAACAAATTAAAAGTATATTAAAAAACATCTGCCACAATAAAGTTCACTTTTTCATGCATTCGAAAACATTTAAGGAACCCCTCAAATTTATTCAGCCTCATAAGTCAATAACCAAATCCTCACTTATTTTTCGTGGTAAGTTATGGTTTATCTACTGGTCACTATTTCTTGGTTAATACACATAACTGCTTGGGTGTTTTCCATTGCGTCCGGAATCGTTAAACAGTAAAATGGATCTTGCAACCAATGTTTGTTTTGTTAAACTTCCGACTCATCAAATGTTGGAAAGCATACTAAAAGTTGTACTTAATTAAAACTTTCAATGACAGAAAGTCAATTAAGCCTTCTGCAAATAAGTAGAGGTAATCATAAAGTTTCGAGTTCAATTTGGAATTAATTTGCGCCTGTGAGTTTTTCAAAAAGCTCACAAGCGTAAATTTAAAATTCCAAATTGAACGAGAAAAACCGTATGATTACTTATTAATAATACAAACATGAAAAAATTCGTGTGGAGGAAGTATCGGAAGATCTTATTACAGACAGGAAGTGAGCATTTGACGCGGATTTGACACTTTATTTACTGATTGGCTCATGAGGATCAGCTGATAATGCTACGAACTCAAAGCGGTTCGTTTAAAAATATTTGCACATGGAATCGTTGAAATTTGTAAGGAATCTCAAACCACAATAAGGCAAAAAGTATTTTAAAACTCATCGTTTAATCGGAGTCTAAATCGCTCTCGATTATATGGACGCGACGACGCATAATAGGCTTCACACTTGGAATGGCTGGTCTTGAAGACTTGCAGCTCTTCGAAGTTGAATGAAACCTGGCAGTAGTTGAACTTGTTCAACAGATTTTGCTCTTGAGCTCTCATATCATTGTCGGATTGAGTTATGTGAAACTTTGTTTTAATCCAAACGCTGATGAATTGGGCATCGAAATCGGTTGCAATGGCATTCGAGCTCTCGGCGGTTGAAGAAATTGAGCTGAAGACCCAAGCGGCTTTTGTTGACCATGAACTTCTCTGGATACTGTCGGTTGTTCGCAGTTCTTCTATTGTATCGTCTAGGGCCAGAGTAAACCTTTTTTGATTTAATGCTGCCATTTTCTCTCAGTCGAGAAAACTTTTTTCAAAGTTTTCGCAGAAAATTTTCGTCATCATTTTACGTGATATCATTGGCTTAGAAAATTCCTATTGTCTTTCAGCCAATCATAATCCAGAATATCGATGTGTAATTTGCACTGGTGTTACAACTGAGCTGCACTGCTCTCAGCCAATCAGAATCGAGTAATTTTTTCATGTATATTATCATGGTTTTAAATAATTGATCTCTATGTAATACATTGACACATGCTACCAAGCTTCCTACCATATAACCTCTTGTCTAGCCCAATGGCTTGATTTTAGCTTACTCATGTATTGGGCATTTGGTGTATAGGCTACCCTGTTATCTTCTGTCCCACGTGCTCAAAGCGAGTGGAGGCCAGGACGAACACTGCATACCGGATGTCGATTTCTCAGCACGTGGAGGGAAATCCCTTTTTAACTAATCCAAAGCCCAGCTGACATTTTTCCCTACCTCTTTCGGGGATGGCAGTTGGCAGTTGATGCTTGAGAGACATTGCACTCAACCCTTTCCCGCCCCCAACTTGAAGGTCCAGAAATTAAGCCTAGAATCACATAGCTAAAGGTAAACTCGCGATCTGATTGGCTATCGAAGAGAGGGTATTTAGCGTGGAATTGCACTTGTGCATGAAGCGATATTGCCGACGTGAGTCGCGAGCAAAACTTCAGCCCAAAATCCAATATCTGGTACAAGATGGTTTCAACTGGTAGAAATACACTGGCAAAACAAATGCAGAGTATCGCGTCTGTAATATTCAGTTCCGGTTTCACACTTTTTGCAGTTCCGGTCATATGACCGACGGTTTGATGAATCCGTTTAAGTTATTCGCATGCTTGTGTGTATTTGCATATTCTTCTAGTTCTTCGAGTCTGCATAACATGATGTTCTAAAACGTATCTCTTGCCTGGTTTATTGGTTTATTACTACGACATGGTGTCAGAAGTGGGATGGTAATGCTTCTGTTGTGCCTGCCTCTCTTTCAGTCTGCTGATGACATCATCAGCATGGGTGTGGTCAGTTTGGCTTTTCCTAGGTAGGTTGTACTGCACCTGTCTTCCGAACAGCAGCTTTGCTGGGGATGGCAACTTGTTGTCAATTGGAGTTGCTCGGAGACATAGGAGGGCTATCTTTGAGTCTGAATTAGACCTCTTGGCTTTCTTGAGGGTTCTTTTGACGCTTTTGACTTGGCTCTCGATGAATCCATTACTACGTGAGTAGATGGGAGAACTCGTCACATGACTGACATCATACTCCTCTGCGAACTGACGGCAGTGCCCTTGGAAGTGGGGCCCATTATCTGATCCCACGATTCGTGGAATTCCTTGCTCGCTGAATATTTACTTGATTAAGTCTGCTACACACTTACTAGTGCTGTAGCCGTTGGGAAATTTCGTGACAAACGGGTACTTGGTATAGTAATCAGCAGTTAAAAGCAATTCATCATCATCGAGGTAAAATATGTCAGTTCCTACTGTGTGCCACGGTCTTGGTGGCACTTCAGTTTGTATTAGAGGTTCTCTTGCTTGTTTAGGCTTGAGTTCCTGGCATATTGTGCATGACTTGGTCATCTCTTGGATATTCTTGTTCAGGTTCCTCCAAAACACTGATGTGCGTGCCCTTAGCTTGGCCTTCTCTGTACCTTGGTGGCTGGCATGTAGTTTGGATAGGATATCTCCCTAGAGGGTCTATGGAACAACAATTCGGTAGCCCTTGAAGATCAAGCTGTCATCGATGGACAGTTCTTCACGGTAAGTCCAGTAGGGTCGTATCAGTGAGGGCAGTTCCCTTACTGTAGTGGGCCAGCCATCGTACACCACTTCCTTGAGGGCAGAAAGTTCTGGGTCCTTAGCTGTTTCTGCCCGGATCTTTTGCAAACACTGGTTTGAGAATTGTGGGCATACGTCATGAATCTGTACATTCAGATCAGGGATTGGTAACTCCTCTTCAGGTGAGAGCCTTGAGAGGGCATCGGCTACCAGCACCTGTTTGCCTGGACGATACTTGATAGTGACGTCATATGGCTGTAAGCGCAAGAGCATTCTTTGCAGCCTCGGAGGTGCTGAGATCAGGTTTTTCAGCTGGATGGCCTCCAGATGTTTGTGGTCGGACTCTGCGATAAAACTTCGGCCATATAGGTAGGTGTGGAAACGCTCACATCCATAGACTACAGCTAGGAGCTCTCGCTCAATGTTAGCGTAGCGTGACTCCGTGTCCGTTAAGGCTTTGCTGGCAAAGGCGACTGGCTTCTTATCCTGCAATAAGGCAGCTCCAAGACCTGTCGACGAAGCATCAACTTGGAGGGTGACTTCTTTGGTTGGATCATAGTATGCCAGTGCAGCTTCCGCATTGATGGCATTCTTGATTGCATTAAAGGCTTGTTGATGGGCTGGGCTTCAGTCAAAAACACTTTTCTCCTTAACTAGCTCTCGAAGAGGATTTGTAAGTGTGCTGATACCAGAAATGAATGGACCCATGTTGGTTGCTAATCCAAGAAATGTCTGCAATTCCTGTTTATTAGTAGGGGGTGCCATCTGCTTCAGAGCTGACACCTTGTTTGGGTCCGGTTGAACACCATCTTCACCACAAATGACACCATAGAATTTAATCTTCATCTGTTTAATCTTGCATTTGTCCGGGTTAAGCTTCAGACCAGTATTTCTACATCTTGCCAGCATACCGTGAAGGTGATGATTGTGTTCCTGTTCTGACTTTCCGAAAGTGACAATGTCATCAGCGATCCCAATGGTGCCCTCGCAACCTTCAAAGGTCTGGTCTATCTTTGCTTGGAATATGTCCTGCAACATCTTACACACGCTTCCAGTGTTACGCGCTTAGGCCACATCTTTCGACATGCATCTTTCTACCTGCTATGTAACCTGGCCTACTTAAAAAATGTAAGTACAACTGACTTCTTTATGGTCGAACTCGAATTGTAATGATGATGAAAGATGAAAGAAGTCATTCTGACAGAAATAAGTCAACTGTTTTGAATGTTTACACGTTGCGAATATTGAAAGCGGCAACGGCCCAATTCTACCAGAAGTCACTATTGAGAACCGATCGACTACACTAAATCGCTTGAATCATCCCGTAAATAGGGAAGCATGCAAAGTCCAAAATCTTCTTCAGCCATTTGAGGTAGGTAATTATCATTTACTTGTCATTTCCTCCGCTAACAACCGGAAAAACTACCAGTTTCACAGTTTAACGGTCTTTCATAGCATGTCAAAAGATGGCATGTCGAAAG